CTCTCTCTCTCTCTCTCTCTCTCTCTCTCTCTCTCTCTCTCTCTCTCTCTCTCTCTCTCTCTCTCTCTATCTATCTATCTATCTATCTATCTATCATTTCTTTCCCTCCTCCCCGTTGTCTACTCCCTCTTCGTGTGTACTACTAGTAAACGCATATGAACGTGTCGTTGAGAGAACAGACAAAATATAATTACCCTTTTACTCTGCCTCCTTTTATAACGTGCAAGTGGGCAGTAAAGGCACACTGAGATGTGGGCAGCTGGCGCTCAACCATCATCAACGTGGCCAGCCTTGTACATGATAGGCACAGAAAGAAGGTAACTGCAAAAACAAAGAAAATGGGCGGCCTCCCAATGCTAGCAAGAAAACATTATAACGGATTTATTGTGTGTCGCATTGTTTTTATTGTTGGGTTGGTCCATCTCAAGTGTGTTGCATTGCTTGTGTAAAGGTGAGATTCCTTGCTTGTTTAAAGGTAAGGTTCTGAATAGATATTGACTCCACAAGCAAAGCTGTTTCATTGGTGGATTGGCTTACCTTGAGAATGCTTCATTGTCTGCAATACAGGTAGATTTGCTATGACGTTGGATCTACTCATCTGGGTGGAATAGGGGAAGTTGTGGTGATGTTTTATAACACACACACACACACACACACACACACACACACACACACACACACACACACACACACACACACACACACACATGCAACTGTTCAGAAAGAGATCATGAGCTCAAATCCTCACAAATGACATGAGTACAATTTATACGACGCTGTTAGGGGCTACCTATTAGGGGGTACCCTCTTTGAAAACAAAATGCAAGACAAACTGTATATGCCTTGTGGCTGAATGGTCCGGTGCCACATATGTAACTGCGAAAAACAGAACATATGTAACTGCGAAAAACAGAACTGAGTTCAAATCCTGATCATGGAGGAGAGAGAGAAAAAGAAAACGGGGATTTCGGCAGCAAGTTTTGAGAATCTAAGCCAGCTCAGAATAAGCAAACTGCAGCTCCCAAAAAACAGTAGTCACAAAGTATTATGGTGATGATGCTGATGATAAGGACAATGATGATGATGATGATGATGATGATGATGATGATTAGATGATGATAAGGACAATGATGGTGATGATGATGATTCGATGATGATAAGGACAATGATGATGATGATGATAACGACTTTGTCATTCACGATGCAATTTCATATAGCAGAACCTGAAACGAGCTTCCTCTCATGCTCCCCACCCACCCACCCTTCCTTCCGTTGCAGACCCAGGTCTGAACCAGTTTGCTGGGGCCTACCGTCGGCCTTTCCAAGGTCAGGCCTTTAACTCAGGCCGGACTGGCCCAGCATGGCCACGGTCTGGGATAACCCCCTAGACCTAGCCGTCGGGCCTAACAAGGCCCGTGTGGAATCCAGTATTTCCGAGGGCGAAGTTGTCTGCCCAAAACCTAGGTGGGCGAAGTTGTCTGCCCAAAACCTAGGTGGGTCTGGGGAGATGAACTTTGTCCTTGGCAAGTTGCCGTCGTTCATAATCACAGAAGATGAGTGGTGCAGATGCCTGTAAATCTGCTCGGGAGATCCAGCGAGTGTCATCAGGATCACATTGCTTGAATGTGACTTGGTACTGCATTGGTTTGTTGCCATATTTGCGGTGTGTGATGAAACGGTCAACTTCCTGATGTCCGTCCATGGAGGGCGGATCTTGTGATC